AGTTAAAATCACCTCAAAATTAAATACAGGGGTGTGTCAAAATAGGGAGGTAGGGGGTTAAGATAACCCCAACTTTTTTGTTCAACGCAATTTCAGTTTTTTTACATGAAATTATGAAATCTCAGGGCTATTAAAATGAAAATGGAGCTCTTGTTGAATCTCGATAAACTGAACCATTAGCGAATGAAATTTATTTTTCCAAGATTTCATTTAAATTGCAATTTTGGTATGCACTTAAGTTTAATCATCTAGTTCAAGATTTGCAACTGAATTTTTACCTACTTCTAAACGTCTGATCAACTTGGAATCTGGCAGATGATAGTTGACAACGCCTTATGGACTTTTTGATAGAAAAAAATATGGCGGCTCCAATGTAGCTGACCAGATTTGTGATTATGGTTCGATACGATTGAAAATTGGTTTGTAAGGGTTTCTGGGGTTGGAAATTTTGAATTCGTTGTCGGAATCAATGAATCAGAAATAGACGACGAGTTTCGTTATTATGGTCTGATTCTATTGAAAATACTAAAATAAAAAATATTGTTAAAAAACAAGCTTTTTTCAAATTTTATTCGCTTATAGTTCATTTTATCGAGATGCCACAAGAGCACCTTTTCTATGTAAATAGCCCTGCGATTTCATAATTTCATGTCAAAAAACTGAAATTTTGATTAACAAAAAAATTGGGGTTATTTTTACTACCTACCTCCCTATTTTGACACACCCCTGTATTTAATTTTGAGGTGATTTTAACTCCATTCGAACCGGCACTGAATAGTAATTGGACGGACAAAATTTCAGATTTTCATTATACAAGGTGTTGGAGATAATAATACAAAATCATTCTCTGAGGCCCCCCTTTGAGGGGCTGTATCTTTCTTGGGGGTCACTTCAGAAAAAAATGTTACAGAGGTTTTCGTAACTATTTCACCCACTCCATATGTTCCCTAAGTTTGACCACCTATTTTAGAATCACCTTGTATTTTACACCTCAACAGCTCTTCCTAATCTACGAGGCAAAGGTACGGCCCGTTTCTCAATACACATAATAATGAGGTTCAGCAGCCAAAAATACGCTGAATTTCTTTTTTTATGGGTGGTCGATGATGCCGTACTCACTAATTCTTCGGCGTGATCAACACACCATAGAAAAGTCAGCAACCTTCACTCTTCAATAAATAATTCCACAGAAAATATTTTTTCAGAAATTTGTGCTATTGTTTCATCACTAGCAATACCAATCAGACGAAGTCGACAAACCCAGTCAGCGCATATTTCTGTCGTCATCCTTGAATTATGTCGTATGAAACTTCACGATACTTCACTTCCTTATCGGCTTTTAGAATCAAAAAAATTCTGCGGTACCTGGTTCTGTCGTGATAGTGAGTCATTCATCTATTGAAAATGACAGTTCAGGTTGAAAACCACTAAACTATCAATTGCCACTACATGCTGCCTGATTCATTGCAATTTTCAAATGCATCATTCGGGACCAACTGCATGAGGAATATAAACGATGCAAATTGGCCATATTAACCAAGAAATGCCTTTTTTGTCACTGATATTGAATGATAGTGGTAATAATATTTCAATCCTGCACATGTTCAATGCAGGATAGATACCACTTCATGATATAAACCATTCCACACAAAACATTTTCATAGTATTATAATGATGGGTAATATGATAAACAATCTCATCGCTCACCTGAATATTGTAGCATTCAAGATATGGTTACTCATTTTTTTTGCATTAATGAACACATTTTTTTGTTCTTCTCTGTTCAAAGTTAATCTCAAATAGCTTTCGCCTGGTAAACAGACATATTCTGCATCTTTATTCAGAATACTCCACTTTCCGAACAACAACACATTGAGCATATCATTTCATTCAATCAAATTCCAGGTATGCTCACTTCAGCACACTATCGAGATGTTTATCATTCAAGTCGGCTAGAAAGAGTTCATAATTATCATCAGAAGTTGAGATACCTACTGAAGTAACTACCATTCCTGCTACTCATGAATGTAAAGCAGTCCCTTGTAGACGATAACTCTATAGTGAAGGCTGAAATTCCTACGGTCGATCTAGAATGGAATAATCATCTATTAGCAACGAACATGTTATGTTCCAAGTTGATCAGTCACTCTCGATGAAAATCAGTCCTATGGGCTATTGATGTTTGAGAATCGGATTCATTCAGATCTAACTCGTTCGAAACGATTCAGAATTGTTTTTCTGTATTGGTCTCGGTTTAGATATTGTTGCTATTTGTCTGTCATGTTCCAGAGTGGTGACATTCAATGAACATCCAGTTGTCATCTTCATCATATGTTATGTGTCATGTTTGTGACATTTTTGCCAAATGAATGGTTTTCAACATCAGAAATCATCGATAAATAATCAAAAAACAGTTCCACAATGGAATGGACTTCCTAATTCCAAAACGTCAGTGAATTTCTATCGTTATTATCCACATATGAATTTTCAATATATGCTCATCTCCAACTGTCAGCATATTCGCATGAAGTATACCATTTTCTCAATCAGTCTTCTCCATATCTTTGAAATTACAAATCAAGCTTTTTGGAGCCCTCAATTCCGCTCGAGTGGATTCATTGTGTTACCCCTGTTGTCGTCTCACATCTCCAACGATCTGGTCTCTGGGGAGCGATTATAACCTCTTATTCATGAGGCTCCCTTGTGTTCCTCTTCTCGGCTCATCCCAGAAGCCCGAGAGAGCTTTCCGCCAAGATCTTCGCTATCCCGGTGCCAAATTGCAGTCAGTTACATGCAATAGTTTCCATGGTGGCCTATTTCAGTGCCCCCAGGTCCAGTTCATGCCAGGCCAGTGCTTGAGCCTAGAGTTCTACCTGAGAGCCCCAGCTCTAGGGCCCCTTCAGCCTCTTTGTCCCAGCTTGAAGATGAGGTGGAAATAAGCAATATTCCATGTGTCCGTCGTCATTTCCTGAACAGCTTCATTCTGCCGCAGAACGTCAGTATTCTGCTCAGAAAATAGTTTCTCTGCTGCTCAGGCTCCAAATATGCAGAGCCAAGACATTTTCTCATCTGGCGAGCCACTGTAGAACATTTGCAGAAGATGTGAGATGAGTTCTTGTTTATGTGTCTCTCGAGTATACAGATGGCCATTTAATACTCTCACTTACGAAGAGCATTCCCTCTTGTTCAGTTTCAATATCACAAATCACCCAACTGCAAGATGCAAGAGATTGCATTCTCTTGATGTTCGATGTCTCATACTCCACTTCCCAGAATGACACACCGTATACACACAGGAGAATATATTTTCAATTTCACACATCACCCTTCAACTCATACTGAAAAAACATGCTCGGACTATTCGCAAAAATAGTTACCGACCAATTCTGCCAAACAAATCAGTATCTGATTCGTTTCGGTAATGAATCTCCTACCAGCAAAACATTTCAATTTTGCCGAATAGAGTGGGGTGATCGAATTTGGTGAACCATGGTGAATCCATCATTGGGCAATGGCCTTGTTTTAGTGAAAAAATAAATCATCCTGCACCAAGTGACCAACCCAAATTAATGTACTGTCACAACCACTAGTCTTTCCAGAGCAATGTACATTTCTTAGATAATCATCGAAATTCACGATATTTCATAACAGGAGAAACGAGAGATGATACATGAAGACATATTATATAGGGATCACTCGAACACAATTTGAACACGATACGACTTATGTGTTGTTTGATTCTCAGTACACTCCCATTATTGCAGTAGCAGAAGAAATATTATCATGAAGAATTCTTTAATTGAAGTAAATACGCCTATCTGAAGAAGAAAAAAATTGATTGAGTACGCATAACTAGCAACGACGCTTACGTCGCATTCCCTCTATCAGATACTAATGGATCTCTATGTGAATTCACTCCAATTTTATGTTTTTTGTTCGAGATTATTCCTTCTATAAAGTGCGCATATGTGGAATATAGATACATTTCTCACTGTTGATGCAGAATATAACGTATTCGAGAGGTGATTATAAATATTCCTGAAAAATATATCTATAATTGTTACAGATTATGAACAACTGTTTCAAATTCTAATCAAACATATAAAATTTTTTATAAATTTGGTATACAGCATAAATTTCACTAGTTTGTTCAACCTCATCATCCATTCAAGATTTTACAGATGATGTTCTGATCATTTCTTTTGGTGAAAAAATAACGACTTGCAGAGTTGAGATATAGAGGTTATGAAAGCTTCGAATTCAATAAATTTTCAATTGAAACCTGTCAATAGTAATATTAAATAATGAGTTGACGATGTCTGTTTTTTGACGAAACTTCTTGCTTCAACATTTATCGAAAGCACTTATAACTTGAGAAACGCTGCTAGATATTTAGAATGAAAAACATGGTTGCGTTGATGTGAATATTTTTGAAGTTGGTCGAACCGCCAACATGGTGCTGTGTTTGTTCTTCTCAATTCGAACAGTTCGTTCTCTCGTCTGAACTGCCACTGTCAATAAGAGCTACAGTTGAGGCTACCAAAGGGTGAGGTCAGTGTCAAAGTCACGAATCCCAAAATTTTCCTAGTAAACCCTGAAGAATATGACTTGTTTCATCAAGAATATTCGTAATGAATTATGTAGAATATTTGAACACATATTAAACCTCATGTTATCAAAATACTACAGCCGACTCAAGTTCTTTTTCTCTGAATGAGGAACTTCACGACTAATTATTCTCACATTGACGGAGAACAAGATATCGTAGTAAGATGCCAAATGATACGAATATAAGAAGTATATTCATCGCTTCCTTCAACCCTGACCTCACGTTTCACTAGTGCGTTTTGTTGGAGAATAAATAATGTAAGCCGACATTTTGATAAAACAATATAGTGAATTACCTCTGGTACTGAAATCAAAATGACAATTTCAGTTTTTGATGAGTATGTTGCACAATCATTTATATTCGATAATGATATAATTTTTTGTTGTTTCAGTTAGGAGACTTATCAAATCCAGAACTCAGGATATTGACCGATCAACTAGAAAAAATAAGATATGGAGGTAAGATTGCGACAAAATAAGCAGAATTTCATCATTACAGATTCGCGAATGTGATATAGAGTTAAAATTTTCATCATGTCATACCGAGATGAAGTATGATTACATATTGTTGATCTTTTCTCAATTTTTTATACTTATATACATTTTATAATAGTTTTTTCCATGATTACACATTTCATCTTCAGTGTCATCACAACGTGAAGCATCAAGAGGCAATATTTTTGATATCACCAAACAAAGTCAATTATTACATGTGAATGATGACTCAATGTTTTCGAGCCTTGGGAACTTAATTCCTTCGGTTCCGTTAACATGGAACAATTATAGTTTCATGAACATCTGATTTGTCAAATGTTGCTCTTCTTTCTCAGTAATTGATGTTCGTAGTAGTTGCTGGAGGTCTATCTAAAAATCGAATATAAAATCTTATTTATATTTTGTTATCAGGTGATGAAGTGGAAGTGAAACGTTTATCGGTAAGGGGCCTTCTACCTGAAACGGACTATTACATGACATACGACGGATCAACGACGATGCCAGCGTGTCATGAAACTGTCACGTGGATGATCCTCAATAAGCCGATTTACATCACAAAGCAACAGGTGAGTCCCGATATGTGCAACATCAAAATCTCTATGGAAGGCCAGATTTTACGTTTTTTACTGACTGACTGATTCGATGTCTTCAGCAAGTCTTTTTGATGGGGTGAAAAATCGAATAGGAGTAGATTGTTTGTAGTGTTTCATAATATCTGGAAGTATTCACAATCTCAAGTTGAATAGCTGTAGGATATTGCATTCAACTGGATAAATGCAGAATCATATCCAAGATCACAAAATTCGTCAAGTACCTCGTGATAATATGGAAGTGAAATTTACACCAAGTGACACGAGGTATCGAGCCACCTGAAATTTGGTACAGTTGAATTAACAGGTAGAGATTATAAGATATTTTATGAGAACTGAAGGTGACATTCTTGATTCTTCTTCTAGACCAATTCACTGATGTGATGATAACTTGATTTTGTTCCCTCATTATTGAAGTTATCAACTATAGTTCGATATTTCTACTTCAATATCCCCGTGATTATCGCGATGGTTTGTGAAGTGATGAGAGGATAACTTTCCTATACGTCAGGTAATTAAAAAATTTGAGGAAAGTTAAAGAATTGAGTTGTGATTTTCAGTTGCATAGACATAAACGGTAATCCTGAATTGAAGTTTTGGTGACTCTGATGGTTGATATCTTGAAATATAATTATATAGAGTTCGTTCCCCTGTTCCACTGAGAATGATCACTTAATTGCTGAAATACGTTTCCAGGTTTCTGAATAATTGATAATTTAGTATTCGGATTAATATTTTGTATTTATCGAGTATGATAGTTCTAATGTTCCAATCTATGAGCACTTAAATGAAGATTGATGTTCAACCACTAATCAGTATATTTCATATCGAAGATTTCGTTTCTATCATTTCAATAATTGGGAACTAAAAAAATTCTCATCTCGAAATCGTAATTTTAATAGTGATTTCATGCATCTCAGTACCCTAATAACACAAATTTGTTCCATGGATATCCTTAGGACGTTCTGTCGGAACATTTGGGACGTTCATAGGACGCTCACATTTGGTACCGTGAACGTCCATTGAACGTCTGTGGAACGCACAAATGTCCCACCCAAGGAACAACTAGGGACGTCCTTGAGGGATGTCCCTGCAATATTCCTGACCAAGCACTTCAGATGACATCCTTTAGGACATTCGTTGCACATCCTATCATGGACGTCCCAGGGACTTACGAATTATTCTTTGAATTGAATCTTTCTGGGTCCCTCTGGGACCAGATCTTGCATAACTGATGAAGACATCCAGTTGAGTTGATGGTCCATAGAAGGTCCCCAATGGATCCTGAAAAAGTTTTCCTAAGATGTCCAATGGACTTACGTGAAGGGCATTGACGAAGAGTATTTATAGCCTTCGAGCAATCATTCGTCGAAGAGGTGTAAGTCAACGTCCTCGCAGGGACAACATATTGAAAATACCGACTGGGACGTCCGTAGGACGTTATTTGTAGGTCATTCGAAGAGTGCAGTTCATGTACCAATTGGGACATTCGACGGATATCCCTGAGGGATATTTCGATTTTTATACGATCCCGATAGGTAATATTTGATGGAATATACCATCAGGGACATTTCATGGTTGTCTAGGAGCAACATTATATGAGATCTGAAGTAACGTTAGAATATGAACTACTCGGGTCATCTGATGGATGTTCGTAAAGGAACGTTCGAAATTATATCCCATCACGGACATGCCAAGGACGTCCTCGCATGTACAGGGTATCCCAATTTGGGCACTTTTGCGGGGTATCTCCCTTATCAGTAAAGATAGAGCATTGCGGTGTTCGCGACAGTGTGGTACTTTTTTATGAAATTAATAATGGCGCAAGCAGAATTGTGGTAGCTCTTCCGGTTGTCTAGATACAGGGTGGAATTGAAAAATATCACCCCCCGTGTCTCAGTTATTTTTGAACTTATCGAAGTTGAAACTTGTTTTTATAGAGTTTTTCTCGTAGAATCCAGGGGCGTAGTTATTTTTTTGCTAGCACCTTCTGTTTTTTAGTTATGGAGCAAACATATGTTTTTTTAAATGGAAAATAATTGTATACAATTATATATTTTTGGAAAGCCCACTTCATGCTCAATGTATATATGAAATAATATACAGGGTGTTCCATTCAACACGGAGGGTGCCTGAAAAGTGATATTTTTCAATTCCACCTTGTATCTCGACAACCAGAAGAGCTATCACAATTCTGCTTGCGCCATTAATAATTTCATAAAAAAGTAGCACACTGTCGCGAAAACCGCAATGCTCTATCTTTACTGATAAGAGAGATACCCCGCAAAGGTGCCCAAATTGGGATACCCTGTACATTCTACTATATTTACCACGTGGAACTTCTAAGGGATGCTGATTCTAGGACATATGAAATGATGTACCTGCTGGAACATTCCGTGGACGTCCTTGCTCGGACATTACATGAGATGTACGGGATGGGACGTCCCAAGGACAATTATTTCTGGTCCGGGATATTCGGACTTGCATTATACCAAATAGGGACGTCCCTAGGTCATTTTGAGCTATTAGGGTATATCATCTGATTATATTTTGAATTTCGAAACTTTCTCATATATAAATGAATTGTTTTCTATATTCTGTAGTTGAACGATTAGTATCTCCATTTCATGGGATGGGATTATGACAATGAGAATATACTTATATCGAGATTTGAGGTTTCGGAATGATAGTAGATCCATTGGGATTTCAGTATGATGAATATGTTTCGTTATGGGAAAATCGATACAGGTCCATAAGAAGTACCGAAATAGAACAATAAATCAACATCTAGCTCTATTGGTTCGGTTCTTGTTGAAATAGCTCCTGGACTATGATACAGGAATGACATCTCGAATAGAAATATAATGATCATCATCTCTCTATTTGGTCGAATTCAATTTCACATAATAGTATCAGATGAATACCTGTTACGTGAGATTTTCGATAATGTGGTGTCGCACCCTTTGCGAATCGAAAACTTTGAAACTAATTATTATTATAGTTGGTAGGAACGTTGACAGTAATGAGCGTAATTTACGACGCTGATGTATATCTCACGTTTCTTTAGTAGCACTTAACAAATTGCTCCAGCTTACGCCCCAACTCGCTGTTGACACTCTTAATTCGATTATATCATTAGCCGTCAAGGGAGTGCATACGAAATTAGCCACTTAAGACGGGATTAAATTTTAACGTCCATGGATTTTTCAAATCTATCAATCTATACTGCTCATGAATAGTTATTGTGTTCACTTTGACTGTGTCATATTAACGATTTCGACATTTTATGAGACTGATGGAGAATATCAGAGTGCTCATTTTAATCATTGGAGATAACTCGAAACCATTCCATTAAAATAGGTACGATGAATCTATCCAAGTAATATCTATTTTGAGAAATAATAATGATAATAATAATAATGAATGTCTTTATTCATCACATTCAACTGAGCATACATTGAATTATAAGAAAAAGATTTATGATGAAATGGTGAAGTGTCAGCCTAAGCTGTTTTTAAACTTTACCAGAAGAGAAATGAAAAAAAGTAAAATAAAGAGAAGAGAAAAAAAAAACAAAAAAAAAAAAAAAAAAAAAACAAACAAACCCAACTTGATTAATATAAATACATAATTAAATAATCATTACTCTTATCTGTACATTTTTTTTTATCGCTTGAAGCGCACGAGAGGGAATCCCTATAGTGTTCAAAGAACATCGTGCGTTCCTAGGGAGGATAGGAATAGGAGGTAAGTATTGGAGTTTTTCTTGAACTTCTGGAGATAATATGTTGTTGGGAATGCTTCCTAACTTATGTCATTAAGAGGGGTGCTTTATTATAAAGTATTGAATGAATCTAACAGTAATCCGAATAAATCAGGAATAGAGACATAAAAATGTAGAATTTTTATGTTGAAGGCAATATTGTTCATTATTTTCAGCATAATACAGATATATAAAGTGCTGAAAAAATTTTTGAAGTTCGAAATGTTCGAGCACAGGAGGTCGTTCGCTTAGGTAATTTTTTTTTCTTTCAGTATATACAGGGTGTTCCTTGAAGACATGCTCATATTTGGAGGGGTGATTCTTCGATTCATTTCAAGAAGAGAACTTTATATGCAAGGGTCTCAACTTCTGGGACACAGAGTGACGAAGTTATGAGGAATATTCAGTTTATTCATAATAACTGAGACAATATTGTATACATCCTCATGAAATTTGGTCCACGTCTTTCATGCATGAAGGTACATTTTATGATGTACACACATTTTTATTTTTCTACCAGTGGCACCGTTACGGGCATTTTATTGTTTATATATTACTAAAAAGTGAGCAAGGACGGCAACATTTTCAAATTCCGTACGATGCTTTGAAAGACTATTCAACTATGTACAAAAAAGGTCCACTTGGGATACTCACAAAAAAACGAGACCAGACTCCAAATTTTGATGTCTGATGATTACTCCATTCAGGACATATCCATCACTGGATAACCGCAGTATGTACCAATTTGATATTCTCATACCAATTCAGTCACATTGCAGACTGAATTTTGCCATCACGAAAAGATACAGAGTGAACAAAAAAATAATTTATGAATATTTTCGACATTGACACCCTGTATCTCAAAAGTTAGGACGAATACGAGATTTTTTCTTATAAAGTTTATTTCTTGAACTAGGTCGAATAATAGGCTCAATGAATATTAGCATATCATTGAGGACTACCCTGTATAATGGGAACCCTGATTGTTAAAAACATTGTAATATGCGTGCACACTGCACACGCCAACGTGAGTGACAGTTGAATAGTATAGATGAGCAAATGAGTTCCATTGATTATCCATAAGTATGAAAAAAATTTGAAGTGGTTTATAAATGGTCAAGAAATATTGAGAAATAACTATTCTACATTGTGGTCATTCAAGTGTGCAACATACTGGGAATCTTTTTTATGAATTGCACAACCAAAATACACATAGTGCCGAAAGTTGGTGCATGTTCGGTTATCATTCAAGATGCACTCAGAATGGTTGCAAGTCCAATAGCATACAGGGTAGGTCAAAGAAATAAAGAATTTCTCAGGAGTAAAGTACCCTTATTTCAGAAAATTTTGTCAAATTTTGGATAGGAAAAATGTTAACAATTGAAAGTAATGCCTAGATACCAGAGCATGGTCTCTTGAGACATTTTTTATTTTTTCAATTCTTTTCGTTGATAATTCCCCAATTTGTAATTTTTTATATTCACCCTTAACATTTTCATGAAATAATCATAACAAATTTGAATAAATACAAAAAGCTCAAAGTCACACAATGTTCATGAAATGAACAACAATGGTAGATTTCGGGGGAAAAACAATTACTTTCTTGGCTTATGCTACGCAGAACATTGAATTACATCCTCCCGAAATCTATGCATCGACTCATTTCAACGAATACTGATACAAGTTATTTTTTTCTGAATGCCTATTGATTTCGATTTTACCAGGCCACGCTAGACAACCACAGACCGGTTCAGAGCTCTTTGACTCTCATCAGTGCAGTGTAGTCTCCAGCCAGCAGTCATAAGACCGCCGACTCAGCGTAGCCTAGCCAAACAAAACTCAAGTCGGCATTTTATTACCCCAGAGGCGTCTTTTTTGCATTGTGGCTATTTCGTTGTTGATAACAAAATCAGTTGAGAATACCTTTGTTCAGATTCAAGAATATTTGTGAAATGAACTTTGATTTCAACTTTTTCATAGAATCACAAACTTTATGTTTGTTAAAACGATATCCAGCTCAACTTTGAAATTGCGCAAATCATATTTTTAACAAGGTGAAACATCATTAGATGAGAAGTTGATGTCACCAAACTGTCTTAATGTTTACTGTCAACCCTCATTTGTTTTGTTGCTTGAATATTCCTGAGTATTTCGAATGATATCCTTGTTGTCCATTGATTTGTACAGCTTTTTCATAAACATTTCAAATACACAATGTTCACATTGACTGAGAGTTTTTGAATTAGCAAATCATCATTAATGATGTTCTACCTTGTTGAAAATATGATTTGAGAAATTTTAAAGTTTAGCTGAATATCGTTGCAACAAACATAAAAAAAATAAAATCCAGGTTAAGAATTTGAACAAAGGTATAATCGACTGATTTTGTTATGATTAACTTATGGAATTATTCAGGGTGAATATTTGAAAAATTACAAATTGGGATATTATTGACGAAAAAAGAATTAAAAACTCAAATATGTCTTCGGGGGCCATGTTTTCGTATTTTGGCATATTTTTCAATCGTAAAACAACTTTTCCATGAACATTTCGCAGAATTTCCTTAAATGAGGGTACTTACCTACTCTTAAGCAAATTTTATATTTTTTGACCTACCCTGTATGCTGCTATCATTATTTGAATAACTTTGACATCATCTTCAACTGTAGCCATGTCTGGTTTCCATTTTCCACCTGCCCAAGTTATCCTTATCTCTTTCGATACATACGAAGATATCTTGCATTATTCTTTATTTCCTAAGTCCCCTCTCCGGAATTTCTGTTTTCTATAGTAAGCGACATTGCGAAGTTCGATTCATTCTGATCAGTTTGCACAGTGCAAATTACAATCATGTCATTTCCTGCTGAAGAAATTATATCACACACAGTGAGGACGAATTGGATATTCGAAACGGAATGATACAAATTCTCGTTGAGGATTGTTGTTCAGAATTATAAATAATAAAAAGGATAATGATAATGAATTCGAATACATTCATTAACCCATGGAACACAATTTGCAAATACTTTGGATTCCATATTCAACCATAATGCCCACGTAGTACATTCGGAATATTGGTAATGATACCGTCATTGCAGTAATTACTCAATATAGTATAGGGAAATATTAATGGATACTAGAATATCAGAATCCAAGTTGATTGGAGGATCATTGATTTCGGACTATGTATAACGTATGGCAGTGCTTGAATTTGACATTGTTCCATATACGATTCATTATAATGATGTAGATAGGGAAATATGAACGTTTTATATATTACGTTCTACTACAGATACACATTCCATTTGACCAAATTATCTGGAAAGGGATGGTCATGGGATGTGAATATCTGATTTTGATTCGACAGACCCCATGATAACGGTCACTTTAAGGAATAGAATCTCCAGAACAATAAATTGCAATATTTTGTTGATGAAATCGATAGTACTTCTTTGAACAAGTACGTTGCATCGTAATGAGTCACTCTGATTCATTCTCAAACAATTGTCCGTCAATCTTTGATCACATGAATTGTTACTTTGATCAAGGATGTACCCAGCAAACACGTTTTTTTTATTTATATATCTGTTATATCACATCAACGGAACTCATTTTCATGAAATATCAACGTGGATATTTCATGATGATTCAAACATAAGTATGTGAACCCTTCATTTATTCTGAATATTGACGTAAATATTCCACAAAAATTGTAGATTATGTGAACCCCATAATTATATAAATATTTCTCGTGATTCTGATTTTACTGGAATGTGACAATTTGCTATCAATTTTTCATAATTCCTTAATGACTTTGCTACGTATTATATCAGAACTAAGGATGATTCGTGAACGTTGATATTTGTTGACTGCTCTTGACGTAGATTGACTTTGAGGTTATAAGTTATGAGATATTGGAGACTCGAATAAGCTTTTACTGTATTTAATAACCATTTCGAGTGTTTTTTTTTTGTTCACACCAATTGTCTGCTATGTTCTATAACCTCTGAAGTGTTGTTAAAAATAACTGAGGGTGAGGTCAGTGTGTAGGCATGCATTGAAAATAAAACATGCCTCAAGATTCTCTGAACCTCTGTGTGAAAACCAAAAAGTGCCTGACACTCTGGAATGAAGATATATTGGTAATGGAAGTATTAACATTTTTTTAGTGATTATTATTCCTTGTTTCATCATCAATTGTATAGACAAATCCAATGAGACGATTTCTGAACCGTATGAATTTTCAGGTAGGTACGTCTTTTTAAAACCAAAGGTGATAGAGATGAAAGGGTTCATCTATATCCTATTGTTAACCAATGAAATGGCTACACAATGTTTCATGTATATGGTCAGAGAAGGAACATTGAAGTCGGAGATTTGGAAGCAATCAAAATATTATCATCTGCTAATA